GACATCCCGGAAGGGACCGGGGTAGACCTGAGAGTGGCGGTACGTAGGCTCAAGGCCAGGAATACCGCCCCAGGACCCGATGGCTTGCCTGGCAAAGCCTGGGTCCTGGCCTCGGAGGCTCTCGGGCCCCGACTGGAGGGGCTCCTAAGCGCATGCTTGGAGAGAGGCCAATTCCCGCTTCGTTGGAAGACGGGGAAGCTGGTCCTCATTCGGAAGCCGGGGCGCCCTGCGGACTCTCCGTCCGCATACCGGCCCGTGGTGCTGCTCGACGAGGTGGGCAAGCTCTTTGAAAGAGTCATTGCAAACCGCCTCGCCGAGCACCTTGCGGGGACGGGGCCGGATCTTGTGGAACACCAGTTTGGTTTCCGCAAGAGGCGCTCTACGGTGGAAGCCATCATGTGCGTGAAAGCCCTCACGACGGGGGATGCAGTGGCCAGAGGGGGGGTTGTCTTGGCGGTGTCTCTCGACATCGCCAACGCCTTCAACTCCATGCCCTGGAGCTGCATTAGGGAGGCACTCCGGTATCACCGGGTGCCGACCTATCTCCGTCGTATAGTCGGGGACTATCTGACGGACAGGGCCGTCATCTACCCCGGTCGCAACGGTGAGTGGAACCGGCGAGAGATGTCGTGCGGTGTCCCACAGGGTTCAGTTCTGGGGCCACCTCTGTGGAACATCGGTTATGACTGGGTGCTGCGCGCCGACCTCCCTACCGGCGTCAGCGTAATTTGCTACGCTGACGACACGCTGGTACTGGCACAAGGGGGATCGTACGAGGCGGCGGCGGAAACTATGACACGCGGGGTTGCGATAGTCGTTGAGAGGATTCGGCAACTGGGTCTCGAGGTGGCTCTGCACAAGTCCGAGGCCATGCACTTCCATGGTCCTCGGAACAGGCCACCACCGGGATCCTCGGTAATGGTAGGAGGGGTATCCATCGGCGTCGAGTCGACGCTGAAGTACCTAGGACTCGTCCTCGACGGCCGATGGAACTTCGTTGAGCACTTCCGACGTTTGGCTCCCAAACTGGAACGGACCGGGGCTGCCTTCAGGCGACTCCTGCCGAACCTGGGGGGGGCCAAACGCCTCCTGCCGGAGGCTCTACGCGGGGATCGTGCGATCCATGGCCCTTTACGGGGCCCCGGTGTGGGCGCGTGGTTTGGCGCGGCTTGCCGTCCACCACCTGAACGCGCCCCAAAGGGTGGTCGCCGTGAAAATGGTTCGCGGCTACCGCACGATCTCCCGCGAGGCGGCGAGCCTCCTTGCCGGATTGCCGCCATGGGATCTGGAGGCGGTAGTCCTCGCACGCCTGCACGAATGGCGCGCGGAGGCACTATGCCGGGGGGAAACCCCGCTGCCGCGGCAAGTTGTCGCGCAGCGGACAGACTTCCGGCACGATCTCATGGCGACATGGAGAGAGCGACTGTTGCAACCCCGTGCTGGGCACGCCACTATAGCGGCGATAAGACCCCTCTTTGAGGAGTGGCTTGAGAGACGCCACGGCATCCTCACCTTCCGCCTGACTCAGGTCCTCACCGGACACGGTGTGTTCGGGAGGTTCCTGCACCGAATCGGGCGGGAGGAAACGCCCGGGTGCTCCCACTGCGAGGATGGACCGGAGGACACGGTGGAACACACCGTGGAGGTGTGCCCTGCTTGGGCGGAGCACCGCCGTGTCCTCGTAGCGGCGATAGGCGGCGGCGACCTCTCGCGTCCGGCCCTGGTCGAAGCCATGGTCCGGAGCGAGACGGAATGGGATGCCGTCACCACCTTCTGCGAAGCAGTGATGTTAGCGAAGGAGGTGGCGGAGCGGGAGAAGGAAAGAGCAGCAGCTTTCCTCCCCGGCCGCCGCGGGAGACGCCCCGGGCATCGGGGGCTACGTCGTGGCCCCCGGCCACCGTAGGCGCGGGCCTGTGGACGGCGAGCAATGGGTAGCTCGTCGTCCGTCCGTCTAACGACGACAGGCCGTGTCGACGGCGCGTTTTGTTCCACGCGCGCCTCAAAGAGCTGTCAGCAGCGTGATGGGGCCCGCAAGGGCCGACGCCTGCCGGGGCTGCGGGCTATTCGAAAGAGATACCGCGGCTCCGGAACGTAAGGGCACTGAAGGAACACGGATGGTTTTTAGTCAGTAAAAGTCTGACACTCCCTTACGCTCCACCCAGAGCGAGAGGGGTCATTAGATGGTTTTCCATCCGCAAAAAAAAAAAAAAAACTGTTGCGTAGAAATCCAAATCCGTTTTTTCAGTGTCTCTCTCGATGACGTGAAGTTTAAGATTCAGATTTCGGTTCGTTGGCTATTGAATATCGAAATCTATTACACACTGAGATATCAGGATTGAGATATCAGGATCAGGATCAATATTATCCTTACTGCTTAGTACGTAAAGTCTATATTGGCTTTGCGAGATTATGCGTTGCTGAATTTTTGGTTCAGTGTGCGATCAATATCATTCTTATTGTTAAGTCGTTTAAGGCTATATTTGCGAGATTGTGTGTTGATTTATTTTTGTTTTTAGTTAAGTGTTTGCTTACTTAAAATAATTTTTTGTTTTCATGTTGTTATGTTTTAGACTTTAGACGTAAATTTAATCCTGGTGACAACTGCTCGCATGCCGGTCAGTCGTAACAGTGTATTGTATTATATTATTTACTGATATTTATTGCCTTAATACCTTTTTGTTTAGTAAATATTGAATTGTGTGTGAGTGTACGTTTTAAATGAGTAAGTTATTGATCATAAAATAATTTATGCGCATTTGTCGGAAATATATCGCTTAAAATGCAATATTGTCGCGACATCCGTTCCGTGCGAACGAATTTTCTCAAAGACGGGATTAATAATAAATTGAAAGAGGTGTCGTCTAAAGTCGTCAAAAGTGGAGCAAATTGCGTTTTTAAACGCAAATCTTAATCCAAACAGATTAAAAACATAAACATAAACACTCACGCCTGTCACCCAGAGGGGTAGGCAGAGACTACAGACTTCCATTTAGCACGATCCTGACATACCTTTCTCGCCTCTTCCACATCCATATACCTACGCATACATGCTCGTCGGTTAAGGGTACTCTTAATTTGGCCCATTTTTAGTATATCGCCAATTTGGTCGACAAACTTCCGCCTAGGACGTCCCTTTCCGACTCTTCCATTCACTTCTGCAACATATATTTGCTTTGTCAGTCTTTCCGCATTCATTCTTTCTACATGACCAAACCACCGAAGCATTCCTTTCTTAATCCTGGTCACCGCATCATCTTGCTTACCACACTCTTCTTTTATCACACAGTTTCTCACCCTGTCACACAGATTCAGCCCTAACATACTCCTTAGCGACCGCATTTCTACGGCATTTACTCTACTCTCGTGCCAAACAGATTCTGAAATAAAAAATTAAAAAAATAAAAAAGCGAAAAGAAACCAAAAAAATATAATAAGAAATCATTGTAAATATACCGATTATTAAATGCGCCGGAAAAGTTCTAATTTCATACAAAAATTTTCTGCTAGTCCTAAGCCTAGATTAAAGCATGAAGGATAATCTCGCAAATCTGTTTCTGTATTAGTTAGATTTGCGTTTGTCGTTTTGTTAACATATAAAACGAAATCTAAGTGCGCAAACGAATGCCCATGCCTAGCGCCGACCCGACATCTAGTTGGTATTGTTCATTTGCTGATCGAAGCTGAAAAGTATGAAAACGCGTGCATTGGTTTTTCTTTACCGCTTTATTTTATTTTAGACTAAAATGCGACTTATTAAGCTGAGAACAAATTATCAGACGCGTCCGTCAGCCGCGGCTGACAGACGCGGCTTATTGAAATCTAGCCGGTACATTTAATACTACACTGTGCAAACTATCGGTCGTAAGACGCGGACATGACCTTGCCACGCTCTTGAGCGTTCAGTCCGAACAGAATCTGGCCGGCTGGATGTTTGTGCGTCCGCGGACAGTGTGAACGGGGCGCGGGACACGTCCGCGGACGTTTCGAGTGTCACTAGCGAACCAACTGAACTCGCGACATGATGTGTAATGAAGAAAAATTAATTGAATGTGTTCATGGCCACGGATGCCTATATTTATAAGTACTTATTAAGTACACACCGCTAAGCCGCGGCTGACGGACGCGTCCGATAATTTGTTCTCAGCTTTACGAAATAATGTTCTAATATAGCACGCGATCTATCCAATGAACGACATGTAATGTAACGTGCTAAGAGATATAACGTGCTGTAAAACTTAACGCGCTTACCGGCCTCCTACACGCTTTCTTATAAATAGCGTGCTATAACATAGCGTATTTAATAGCGCGCTAGAAATTTATAGTTTATAGTCTGTAGCGTGCTATTGATTTATAGTCGTTTTGAACAACTTTAGCTGTAAAGCCAGTAAAAATATAGGAGTAATAGTGTTCTGTGGTAAAAATAAAAAAACAGGCATCAGGCAGGCAGCCAGGGGTAGGACAGTTCCATATATTAACAGGATGGACGTCATTTTTTCGAATTGCGACATCTGTTATCGCCATCCAAAATAATGAGTTACTTTATGTCACCGCAGATGGCGTTACGATCGACGCAAATATAATTTATGACTGAAAAATAATGTAAAAATATTAATTTCGTTACGTATCATTTTAGTATAATTATATGTAAATATTTGTGTAGATTACAAGCTGCGTAATAATTACGATAGCAACACTGTGAACGATTTCTTAATGATTGTCAAATGTCAAATAGTCACGTCATCACAAATATGGCGACTGCTCCTTGCGTTTGCGCGTGTTTGTAGTTTTCGTCCCATCTTTGTGCTTTTCTTCGTGAAATTAATCCGCCGATCCACGTTGAGTTGAGTCCTATCCTCCGTAGTGAAGTGTAAGAATTTTCCGAAGTTATAGTGTGAGTTGAGCTGTTCCTCCGTCATTCTAGTGCAATCGTTTTTTTGCGACCCGGACGCTTCGTTTGTGCTGTTTCTTTGCGATATAGACGCTTGTGATTTGTTTTTATCATGCCTAAACGGTGTGCATTGGGATGTTCAAACAGTAAGTATAATCATCATTATATCTCTGCCATCTTGCCTCCATAGAATTCCACAGTGCCTTGTCAACTTCAACTTACAACTTACATAAAATTACAGCCTATATACGTCCCACTGCTGGGCACAGGTACCCCCCGCTTCTTAGATAGTTTTAGGGCAAGGAAGTGTTCGCCGTGTTACCCCGTTGCAGGTTAGCGAATTTCTCGTTTCTCCGAAATATTTTTTCTTATTTCTCAGATATGCAGCTTTCCTCAGGATGTTTTCCTTCACCGCCGAGCATGTGGTAAATCAACACTTAAAATTGCAACTATGAATTTCATTGGTGCCAGCAGGGACCCAACCTGATTTGCTTGCATAATGTGAAGTTTACAGCGAGCGCTAACCATCTGAACCACCGTGGCTTACATTCTTGTCCTAAATGATAGATAAATAGAATAAGATTTACATTATAGATGAACCACTGCAGTTATCTGTGTTTATATTTGTAGGTACTTATTAAAATTATACCTTTCCCTCTCCCGGTTGATGGCCATAAGCCATTAGAAATGTTTGACAGAAATAAGTATGAATATAGCCTTAACTTACAAACCAGTCTTAAATGCTCTCACATTTAGTTTAATACATGATATATCTAATCTACAAAACATATTAGTAAAAATTATAACACTGCATTACATGCACTACTTTAATTAATGCATTTCAAGGTAATTATACAAGCAAAGTGTAAAATATTTTTCATTAATAGCTACATCAAAGAATAATGTGATAGCAACATTACAAAATAGTTATAGCAATATTAAATTTTTGTAAAATGGCATAAATAACAAAATCAATGAGGATTGGAGTAGCCATGGAATTACAATTCTGTAATAAAGAACTTGTATACTCATGTATTACAAACCAATTTTTGCATTCAGGAGATTTCTTAACTAAGTACACTTACATAATCTTTATTTTTAATCTGTGAGATTAGTTGAAATATTAATAGGGCAACATAAAAGGTGATACTGAAAGTTCTTAGAAAATCAAAAACTGAATAAACTAGCAAGTTATTAGTTTTATTATATCTTTCCAAAATGGTGTCTATTTACATCAATACATTGCTGCATCCAATGGAATCACCGAGAAAAGCACTTTGCTTACTTGCCCTTAGCGGTCTCTTCGACGACATTTTGAAATGCAGCCATTGCTTCCTCGGTGTCCATTAAACATTTTCCTCAAAGTTTTTCTTTTGTTTTCGAAAATAAATAAACATCGCAAAGTCCGAGGTCGGTGCTATAGGGAGGGTGACCCAGTAATTCCACGTCTGATGTTGCCAAGTAGTCGATTGTTTGCTTGGCAGTGTGAGACGAGGCGTTTTCGTTGTGAAGGAAGATCCTACTGTGAGGTTATTTCTCCCGAACATTTTCCAAGACAAGTAGCAAACAATTGTTAGTGAACCACTCTGCAGTAACTGTTTTACAATTCTCTGAAACAATTGTTGCATAATGACCTGTCCTTCCGAAGAACGAGGTCACCATCTTATTTCCCACGCTTCAACCTCTCTTCACTTTAATTGGCATTTCCTTGGAAGGAAAAACCAAGACAGCAGACTGTCTCTTAGTTTCAGGATCATAACAATAAATCCAGCTTTCGTCACCTGTAAGTATGTCAAACACAGCATTTGTGTAACCTCAGTTAAATCTTTAAACCATTTTACGACAATAATCAACATGATGGAGTTTTTGGGCCTCTGTCAAATAATGAGGTATGAATCTATAAATCATAAACAAATGACAAATTAATAAAATACATACACAATAATATTGGCAAATAGTTCAATTTTCAAAATTTGAACTTACTTTTTTATTATATAGTGTTTACAAGTGGCCAGTTCCAAAAACTTTCAGTGTCACCTTCATACAAACAAGATTAAAATTAAATGATCATTTATGTAAAAAATTAAAGGCAATTTGAACCAATAACTTTAAAACCTAAAGAGTAGGTGTTATCATTGCCTTTCTAAGTGTAGCATTTCACTTCGATATAAACTATAGATTAGTTGTAAGTCCTAAGCCATAGCACAGTTTTAGGTATATTAAAGATAAGTACTGGCACATTTAAATCCACATGCTTGAGCAAGAGTATTTTTAAAAACTAAATGCCTTAATCAAACTTTATTTTGCACATTTAGAAAAGCTATTTACAAATATTATATGGTGGTATAACCCTTTTTGTAAGAGTCTGACTTGCACTTGTCTGTTTTTTTTTAAAATATTAGTAGGATCATTGGCTCTATTAGCAAAAATTGTTATGCATCATTATTCAGGAAAATTATTTTAGATCTTTAAACTTTTCAAGAAAAATATTAAAAGTGATCTTTCTTTTTTTTTCAGAGACTTCCTATCATCAATTTCCACATCCAGAAAAGAAACCTGACCGTTTCAAGGCTTGGGTTCATATAGCTGGTGGGAAGTTAGATAGTCCTGCTGATTATGAACTGTATAGAAAGAAGGTCATCTGTGATATCCATTTTACAGACAGGGATAGAAACCGTAATAACCGGTTGAATTTTCTAGCTGTGCCATCACTTCATCTTCCTGGTAAGATTTACATATAATACAAATAAGAGCATTTTAACTTATTACATATTAATTATTATACAATAGTGGTACTGGGCTTGAGATGAAGTTAGCATTTTGCTAATATTGCATATTTAACTGAAATACTTCCCTAATTAGGCAAGAAAAATGGCCTAAATGATGGGAAATCGTTTTGCCCATGTTTTTAACAAGTGCAAATACAGTACCATGCGTTGTCCCATATTAAACCTTATATTAATTAGTATGTAGGCTCTATTGCTAGTATTGTTTTATTTTTATGCTTATTAGTAATTTTTCAACTTGTATTATATTTATTTTATAATGATAAGAAAACATATTTATGGTGGTTATTCTGTGTGGTGCAAAAATTAGATGTTTATATGTTTTTATCCCACTTCTAATTAAAAATTCTTTAACATTATAAGTTTTTATCAATTTTTTAAATAAATAACATTTTTCTCTTATTTTTTAGGCAAGTCTGATGAAGTTGTTACTTCAGAGAAAATTTTACTTGTACCTGAACCTGTGAATGAAGAAAGCAGCCTTGCTGCATTAAAACCGACACTAACAGGTACTTACATATTGATTCCAATTATCATAGGTAGCAATTAAAGAAAAGCAAAATAAAAACAAAGGATTAGTAGTCTAGATGCTATCAGCGTCTTCAAAAGGTCATTATCGTCAACCAATTATATAATTACTTGTTATGACAAATTAAATGCAACTGTATCATAATTAATTTTGGGCCTAACCTAATAAAATATACTCTAAATGTTATAGTTATTGGGCTCAATACAGTTATTGGCCATTTAGATTCTAGTCTAAATTACAACTTCAATGATAAGTAAAACGACAACATTGAAAAGCTTGGTGTTAGAGCTTTGTGCGCGCTACACGACTGTAAAATGCCGAGCAGACCTGCATGGTGATTTATAACCCCATCTCCCTATGTATCTGTGCTCAGTATTAGACTTAAAACGTATCTCTTATTTTTCAGGCAAGTCTAACGATGATGATACTTTAGAGAAAGTTTTACTAATACCTGAACCTGTGAATAAAGAAAACAGCCTTGCTACATTAAAATCAACACTAACAGGTACTTACATATTGATTGCAATTATTATCATAGGCAGCAATTAAAGAAAAGCAAAATAGTTTTTTTTTAAGGGAATAGTTGTCTAGGTGCCATCAGCATCTTCAAAAGGTCCTTATCGCCCATCAGTTATATAGTTACTTGTTATAACAAATTAAATACAATTGTATCATTATAAAATTTTGGGCCTAACCTAATAAAATATACTCTAAATGTTATAGTTATTGGGCTCAATACAGTTAAATTCATCATCATTGAAAATGTAATTTAGACTAAATAGCTTGGTGCAGCGCTACATGACTATAAAATGTCGAGCCGATCTGCATGGTGTTTTATAACACCATCTTCCTGTTTCTGTGCTCAGCATTAGACTTAAAACATATATCTTATGTTTCAGGCAAGTCTGATGAAGTTGTTACTTCAGAGAAAGTTTTACTTGTACCTGAACCTGTGAATGAAGAAAGCAGCCTTGCTACATTAAAACTGACAACGACAGGTACTGACATATTAATTCCAAATATTTATTACATTCATGTTGTTGGTAAATTTATATACATAAAGTTGGACTAAATTAAATCTAAAAATAACACACTAACAAAATCAATATTTCTCATGAATTTTTCTTTCTTATTACAGATAACTCTGCCAGAATCAATTCAGAACACAATTATTGCCGACTGCAGAAGAAGGCGATACATAAAAACAATAGTAAGTTTTTTTAGATATTTAGGGGATTAGGAAACAGAGTGCACTTTTAAGAAAAGCACCAATCCCGACTAAAAATCAAATGGATAGTAATTGGCCATAATTTTGTAAAAGCTAATGACATATAAATAAATACATACAGTGCACAGAAATAGTAATAATAAGACAATAGAAATGAATTAGCGCTCGATTACTTCCATAACCGATGTCGCCACATCTTACCGTATTATAAACATACGCACAATGCACAATGATATCTAATGTTTCACATTACATTGCTTGGTGAGTTTGTCAATGCAAAAAAAAAGCAGCAATGTTAATTTTACAATACGAAAACTAATAAGTATGTACTAATGTGATAGTTTACAAAGGTAAATATCATAGTAAAGTATTCGTCTAGATCTAAATTAGTTAAAACAATGAAAATTAGTAAACTATCAACTTACTGATGAAATGTTATGCCTTTATTAGTTGAATTACACATCCTTGATGAGTTTTTACAACTGATTATGCTGCAGTTCACCATTATAAATTTATAGTAACATAAATTCACGGACGACGTTCCCCGCGCAACTTAATCACAAAATGGTGAATGATGTTCGTCAACACATCATAGCAGCGACAAGGTCACGCGTCTATGCGACTTCTTTTGTCTTATTACTTAATACGTGTATTACAACATTTTTAATACACACATACACTACACACAGTTCTAATCCTCTTCCCCTCTATGTGACAGCCCTATTGTTTTTTCTTGACATATTATCTACGTGTGTACAAAAATATCATATCTCTCAAACTTTTAGTCTTTCTGAGATAAAAATAGGCTCCTTCGGAAGGCAACAATATTGTCTATTGTTTCCATTGCCAAAAAATTTACTTTACGTAGTAGAGTCATGTTGCAGTTATATTAGAGTATAGTTGTAGCATGAATGGCTCAGCTCGACTGGGGAAGGACCATACTCTCACAGAATACCAGCGTAAAATAGTAACTGACTGCTGCTGTGTTTTGTGTGGTGAGCGTTGAGAACCGGATACCCTATTTACTGGTAATGAGACATTACATCTTAGACCTCACAGCTAACAATGCGTCTGCATTTTGATTCGTAGTTGAGGATAGATGTAGATGTCTCTTGGCCACAACAACCACTTACCATCAGGTGGACTGTGTGCTCGTTTGTCTCCCTATCCTATTAAAAAAATGGGTTCACATATTCATTCACATATCCAAAAATTATGCAAATCAAATTTTTTACAGATAATTATCAGCAGCAGGAGTGGGCGTCATTCTGGTTGAACCAGCTTAAAACAACAAGAAGAAAAATTAAAGTTTTGCAATCAAACTTGATCAGATCACAAAAGAAAAACAAAACCTTTCAATCCAGAATAGCCAATGCTGAAAAAATGTCTACAGATATTTTATTTAAAAAACTGACGAACAAAATGACCGTAGCAGCAAAAATTTTCACAAAAAATGCAGTACACCCAGACAAGCAAGAGGCCTCATGGTCGCAGATTCTCTCTCGAAGAAAAAGTGCTCTCGCTTTCTTTATATAAAAAGAGTCCAAGAAGCTACCCTCTTTTGGCAAAATATTTCACATTGCCTTCAACTAAATCATTAAAAAGACTTTTGACCAAAATAGAAGTGAAGCCGGGCCTTAATAAATGCATATTTATGAAAATTAAAAATACCGTCAAGGAGCTATGTACAGAAGACCGCTTATGCAGCTTAATTTTCGATGAAATGTCAATATCCCCTCAAATCCATTATAACGCTGCTAAAGACCAGCTTAGAGGGTTCACATTTGATGGCAAAAAAATTGCTGACCATGTATTGGTCTTCATGGTGAAGGGGTTAAAAAAGAAATTTAAGCAACCCATTGCGTATTATTTCACCAACTCAGTGAATAAACCTCAATTAAAAGAAATGTTACAAAAAGTTATTAAGTATGTATATAGTACTGGGTTAATGGTCATATGTACTGTCTGTGATCAAAGTACAGTCAATGTAAGTGTAATAAATGACTTGGTAGAAGATACAAGAAAAAAATATTTAAGAGAAGAAAAGGAATTTAGGTATGAAATCATTGAAATAGGAAAAACAAAAGTAATCCCTCTATTTGATGTTCCACATTTACTAAAAGGAGTCCGAAACAATTTACTCACGAAAGATTTAAAATACTATGATTTTGAAGAAAAGTGCGAAAAAAATCATCAAATGGGATTACTATAAGCAAACTTATGAAGCTGATAAGTCGTATGGAGAGGTGAGGTGCCTACTAAAAGTCACAGATGAGCACATGTCGATAAAATTAGAAAAATGAAAGTGAAAACAGCAGCCCAAATTTTCAGTCACACGGTAGCTGCGACTGCAGGACATCTGGTGGCAAGAGGAGACATTCCGGTAGAATGCCAAAATGTGGTAAAATTTACAAAATTAATAGACAATCTTTTTGATTCTTTAAATTCTAACACATTTCATGTGCCTGATGGCAAAATATATAAAGGATGTGTTAGACGATCTAGTCCACACCATGATTTGTGGAAGAATGCCATAAAAGTTTTGAAAACTGTAACATTTATTAAAAAAATTAAGGACAAAAATAACAAAATCCGTTTGATTGAAACAAAAGCTATACCATCTATAAAAAACTTCATACGTACAATTAAAGGAATGCAACAATTATGGATATTGCTGTCCCAAACATATTCATTTGATGCTATGCTAACACGTAATTTCAACCAGGACCCACTAGAGAATTTCTTTGGGAATATCAGAAGTTATGGGGCGAGAAATACTGCACCAGACACGGTTGCGTTTGAAGGGGCCTTTAAGTCCCTTTTAATTAATAATTTTAACTCGCCCCATTCTCTGCATGCAAACTGCGAAAAAGACGACGATAGCTGCTTGCAGAATCTAGATTTTTTTGTAAGAGAAAATATCGCGTCAACTTCTGATATTCCTAGTCCCATTTATGAGGAAACACTACAATTTTCTGAAAGCATAGAAGACGAAATTGTAGTGCCTTTCATCAATTTAAATACCAGTATAAATGATGCTGGTCAGGGCAATTATGTGTGTGGGTGGGTCCTTGGGAAATGCATAAAAAATGTTTCAAAAAGCTGCAAAGTATGTAAAAAAGATATGTATGGCAGACCTGAAAGCAAATCCAATGATTATATACGGGCAAAAGAATATAAAAAAGGTAAACATTCTTTAATATACCCATCTGAAGGAATGCAAAAATGTTTTGTCCAAATTCAAAATTTAGTGACAGACATACTAAAAAAAAGATGTTCCAAAAATGGGTTTAAAAAGTAAAATAAAAATGTTTACCGACATATTTGTTGACTTTCCATTTAGTTGTGAAAAACATCAAAAAATATTACGAAATTATTTTGAAAACACAATTATTCATGTGCTTATATATAGTTGGTGCCGTTCAATAAACCGGATTTTATCTGGTAAAATCAAATACCATGGTGAGGATGAAACTAAAGCAGCAGCCCAAGCTTATAATAATAAACACAAGGTAAATAAATAAATAATATTGTAAAATAAAAGTTGTTTTTTTTTTTTTTTTTTTTTTTTTTTGTTTATCCAATAACCTTTTGAAATTGATGCGTCCTTACTAATTGGCTTGTTTTTAATTTGATAAAGTTTTACTAAGATTTTGTTAAATAAAGTCAAGTAAAACTTTATCAACTTGAATACAAGTAAATAAGTAAGGATGAAGGAAAAGCTACTATTGCCTATATAGTACCTATAGCCAGCTATAGCTATAGATGTTAAGTTTATGGATGGCGATAATAGATGGCGCTATTTATCACATCAATTGACATTTGCGGTTTTCAATAAATTCCACGAGTGGGTTCTCTATGTACGATATATTACTTTCCTCTAGAGTTGGGGTTGTCAACTGAACGTCAATAACGGTTTTACGCGTTTTTGTTATCATTTTAATTATTTTAAGTTTTCTTGTAATATTCTGATTACATTCCTTTTATATTTTAGTATATATTAATAATATTTATTTGCATTTTCATATTGTATCTCATTTAGCGACAATTTCATACTATCACAAAATAGTTTAACGTAGCCTTAGTCTCTCGGTCGCCATGTCTAATCCAATTCCGCCTAAGCCACCGGATCCGAATTATTCTGACACTAACATTATTTCCTCACCAGCTGCTTATGTGGAAATTGAAAATGATTTAGAAGGTTCAATTAAAAAACCACGGCAGTCATTATCGCAAGAAATTTTTGATGACAACTTCAAAATTATTTCAAACAAAAAAGAAAAGAAAACATAAAACGAAGGAAAGGAAGAAGGAAGAGCATGCTAATCGGGTTGACATAAATAGAAGAATTTCAGCTTTTTCCACCAATTCCTCATTCTCAGAATCGGACTACGATACTGGTAATACTTCATCATCTAAAATTAAAATTGTAGGCTCTAACTCTATCAAAAGCAATATGTCAGGACAACGTGCTTATGAATCTCCCATGTCTTTATCATCCAATATTGCTTGTACACAATCATCTGAAATCCCACTTTCACAATCATCTGGCATTCCTCTATCACAAACATTAAATTCTGCCAATAGTTATATCTCTTCTAAATCTCTTAACACGCATATTGATAACGATAATAAAAAAATAGAGTCACAAAGATTTCAATCTCTTCGTTCTTATAATTCTACAGATTCAGGTCCTTTTATCGTTCATGTTCAAGTAAAAAAAAAAAGAAGACTCTCCTAATTCTGGTAAAACTTTAAATGCCATTTCATTTGGTCACTTTTTGAAAAAATTAAATGTACAAAATATAGTTAATGGAGGCCTAAAACGTATCGGGAGAAATAGAATAACGGTTGAATTCTCTAAATTTATTGATGCAAATCTATTTTTAGAGAATCCATCCGTAAATGATAAATATAAAACCTTTATTCCATCATTTCACGTATCTCGTATGGGAGTTATAAAAGGTGTACCAAAAGATTGGACACCAGAAGAGAT